TGATATCGTAAAGTATGAATGTGGACAAAGCTTAGCTGGCGATTCATCCTGATGTTCCGTGAGTACTCGTCCTCACGTAGAGGGGAGTAGGTCATGTGTGGGAACGATAGGAGGTCCTAGTCCTTAGGGGTACTTTGGATGGAACAGACTAACCTCGGGTGGCAGCTGATGAGAATTCCATTTACTACATCACCCGGGTGCACGAACGTCGTAGCTACACAGAATTCATACAGTCCGGACAGTCGGTCTAGTATCAGGGTTTGATTTGAATTGATTATTAGAATGTGTTTGAATGTGCTTACATATGAAAATGTATGTTATTACTTGAATTAAATTACATAAGCTTACCATGTGTCTTCTTTGTGTTGTCTTGTCCTTGTACGTCCGTCTTGTCTTTGCAATAATCATCCGTGTGGATGTGAGCAGATGAAGACGCGCTACTGGAAGAGGCGCTGGAAGAAGGAAATTTGGAGGAAGAGAACCTCGTCGACGTGGAAGTTAAGGTCGAACCGTAGTACGTTCGGTTAGTAGTATAGTTTAGTTAATATAAGGTGTCGTTCGGTCACCTTTTTCTTTTGGTAGGAATGACCGTTCGGTAATCCTTTTATAAACCGTTCGGTCTAGTCTTGTTTATCTTATGCAGTTAAGTTTATAGTTCTATGTAAGGCCGTTTGGTCAATATTGTACGCTTGATGAGTATAAGACTGAACTGATATACTAATTGTAATTATTTCTAATGTATGGTTTATTACTGTATTTTTAGGATGTTACAATAATCCTCGTTACTGCTTCTAGTATAATGATAAACTTAATTAATTATGTAATTTATTTTTCCAAAACTAAAGTCAAACACAAATTACAACCATGTCATAAAGACCACAAACAAAGGGACATAACATTAAAGCCTTTCATACAAAGTACTAAGAATTATACCTGTTTGGATTTTCTCTTCGGCACCAAAAAAGAACCCTTTTTGGATTCAGCCCAAAACTCATTGGATTTGGGGTTTCCCCACCATTGTTCCATGCATGAGTGGCAAAGATAACAATAAAAGGGACAGAATCAGTGTCTTGTCCTCTCATTTCACTAGTTCCAGCCCCATGGCTTCCGAGAAGGAAGCTGCTCTTGCTGCCACTCCCTCTGATGCTGATGCTCCAACCATGTATGGTTTAAAGTTTACATCTTTTCTACTCCACACCTTCTCTCCTTACTTGGTTTTTGTCCTCAAAAGTATTTCAATTCTCAATCTTTCGTGGGTATCTCTTTGTTTCACGTAATTCCTTCCCATCTATCTGTTTGATGTTTTGAGTTTGCAAAAACCCTAAAAGGGTTGCGTTTTTATGTTCTCAACAATTTGTTTTGGGAAGAAAGGTATTAGGTATGTCCTTATTGGTGCTGCTTTGACGTGAAGATGTATGCTTGATTGATGGGATAGCCCATTTCCATTTGAATTGTTTCCTTAGTTTTGCTGGTTTGCTTTTGATGAAATTTGTTCCGTGTTTTTATATGGCTATGGTGGATTTATGCAGTCACCTATATTTATTTGCAAGAGCCAGAGGGTTCTACCTATTAGTGCTGGAAGTTGGAAAAGGATCTGACAAGTCATCTCAGTTTCTTGAGAATTTTATGAATACCTATCATTAATTTTGTATTATTTGGTGCGCAGATTTGACAAGATCATCAATAAGGAGATTCCTTCTACTGTGGTTTACGAGGATGATAAGGTAATGTAATGATGCCTGATGTGTTTTGTTCTATGCTAATTGTTTCTTGGTGAGCGTACGAGAAGAAAATCTTAAACATTCAGTTCATGGTGAAAACAGTACAATGTACATCTATGTTGAACATTTAAGCTTCACTGTTTTTTTTTTTTTTACTTTTTCATTTTCAATTTCTTTCCCGTTTAGTGCCTAGATATATTGTTCTTGAACACAGAAAAGTGGTTGTTGGACATTTTGATTATGTTAGGACTACCACATTAAGTAGTACTTGCGAAAATAGACTTCCAGATTTTTTCTAATTTCATCTTTTATGACATTTCAAATATATTTCATTTTTCTAATCTATATTTTAGCCTCTCTCAGTTAGGTATCAGTGAAGGTTTACAATAACTATTAATGGTCCTATTATTTTCCCCCATTTTGACAGGTGCTTGCCTTCAGGGACATAACTCCTCAAGCTCCTACTCATATTCTTATCATTCCTAAAGTGAAAGATGGGTTAAGTGGTCTATCCAAGGTACTTATTAGTGGCACTTTCTCTGTACATAGCTTTATTTTGGTGTCTCAAACTCCTGGAAAATCAATTGCACCCACGTATGGTTATGCTTGCTATATTTACACATTTAAGAAAGAACATAAACTATCTTCCTCTTTATATTCACTTTAGAAAGTAATAATGTAACTTAGCCCGTTATTTACTAGTATTTGAAAGCAAGTGATGAATTATATATTCCTTCAGAACGCTAAGCTTGCATTACCCTGTGGTAACAAAGATACAGTTTTCAACTATAAAGTGTTAGTGTTGGCAGCTACATGTACTTGATTTGAACCTTTCGATGTGGAACTATGGTTGTATCAAAACTTAGCTAACAACTAATTGTAGTTATGGCTACTTTTGTAATCATTCTTTCAGAATGATGATGCTGATACTAAATCTGTGTGTGGCTGATGCCGCTTCTATAGCTAGATAAAGTTTAGTGTGTTTCTACTTTTAGTTGCTTTGCTCTGAAACAGGTTCATGGTGGTTAGCTCCTACCAAATTGTCGTAAATTAATCCTGTTTGAATTAATATTTTATGATGAGAATATGACAATTTGCATGCTACCTAATCCTATTTGTTTGGTCATTTTTGTATTGTCACTTTTTCTAAGCGATGGCTTATGTTTGCAAATACTGTGCATGAAGGTTAGCTAAACTGGTTTGGTTACCTGAAACAATTGATGGAAGAAACTTAGATTAGAAGATAGTTTGATTAAATATGGTTAGAGGGAAACCTAGAAGCATGGTTGGAAGATAGTAGATTGGAGTCATGGAAAGAAGTTCTTTTTTTTTTGGGGGGACGGGGGGGAGGGGGGTAGAAGAAATTGTGCAAACAGTTTTGATTTATTTACATCCATGGAACCGGAGATGATGAAGTCTCTTTGAATAATTTATCACAGATCACATTCAGGTATAACTCGTCAGTTAACACACTAATTTTCTTGAACCAATTTACCACTTTTGTAGTGTCTCCACTTCCTGCAAAGTTGAGATATTTTTTAAATCATGTACTGTTGTTAAAATTCATTACACTCTTGTACATATATCTCTTGACAAGAGCAAAAGAAAAAGAACTATATACTACACATTTGCAATGCTACATTCATAGTTCTCTTTCTCACCAACACTTAGAGGGGCTTCAACGTTTTTTCTTCTTTCTGAGTAATCAAACTCAGTGACCGAAACTTTGGTATCAATTATGCTTGTTCATGTTCTTGTTGAATTTTCTGCAGGCAGAGGAAAGGCACTTCGATATTCTTGGCCGTCTTCTTTACACAGCCAAGCTGGTTGCAAAGCAGGAAGGTCTGGATGACGGCTTCAGGGTTGTGATCAACGACGGGCCAAAGGGATGTAAGTTTTGTTCTCCAGGCCAAATCCTGAGCTTTGATAAATCATCTTTCATTGAGCTTTTTATTCTAAAAGTGATTCTTCTATGGTATATTGAGTTGTGCTTTTACTCTTGACAGGCCAATCAGTTTACCACATTCATGTGCACCTCCTTGGAGGGAGACAGATGAACTGGCCTCCAGGCTAAAGTTTTAGAAAGGATTAGAGATGAGAATAGTAATAATGTGGTTGTGCTGTCTTTCGGTAATGGTTTTAAGACAACTAATAAATTGCAACATGTGGTGTACTTGAAGTGACAAGTGATTAAGGTTGCCAGTGTTTCATGCGTTTAAACTCTTGTGGTGAATGCAGGTTAGTTTCCAAAGTTGTTTTCTAAATTGTTATTGTTGGTGTGACTTGCCACTTCAACGTTAGTGGCATCAATCAATGTTGTAGTAATATTTTAGTTGATAGAGATCATAGTTCTACCAAACTGACAAAGGGAAAGTTCACAAGACAGTATAAAGGATGGTGGAAGCACCACAAGCCAACTAGAGTTGTGAAGTTAAGAACAAAACTAAGAATATAATGAGTAAATATATAATTTCATCTCTAAAAGATTGAGATTTTGACTTATGAGTCTTTGAATAATTTGTTATGTAAATGGACTGATTTCATCATTAATATTTTTAAAAACTTTACATCATTAATAAATTATCTTTGGGATTATTTTGACTTACAAGACTGATTTCAAGAAGTCTTCTCATCATTATTAAGTTTCTTTGGTAAAAAAAATAAAAAATTCTTCCTCAAATTTTAGAATATCACCTTCACAAGGTTATGTGCTCTTCTTCCATAATTCCTATCCTCGTCATAGGAAACTCTATTTGTTCCATGCACTTCTTTATACTTATATTTCTTTGTTAGCATATTTGAAGCTTGTCTGGCAATTCATTTTCATACATACATTTTTTTTAAGGTGGTTTGAAATTTTTTTTCATATCTAACTTGAGATCATTGTATATGTCTTTTACGGAAGTTGACTAATATATGTCATGACCTCATTTAAATATCTTTTCCTCATTTTTTACTAAACTAAGTATTTTTCTCTTTAGCAAATTATTCTTAACTCGAGACAAATACAATGTTTGAATAATCAAAATATCACAATTTTAATTTACTAGAGAAGGTCTTTCTAACGTATATAATGGTTTAGACTTTCTATATTAATTTGCTAGGATGAACACAAACAATGTTCTTACAAAGTGTTTTGGGATAGGTAGAAAAGTCAATAGAAGTTTGACACTTGAAAATAATAGTTGTCTTTTAAACAATGTCTTTAGATAGACTCGGGAAGAATGATGGTTACAAATTCTTTTATGTTTGATAAGTAGCTTTGAACTATAATAAATGTTTTCTTCTTCTTTTTATTATGTTTGTCGAGCTTAGATGTTGGAAAACTTTCAATGTACTACATGCAACATTAATTGATTTTCAATTCTTTATGCAATTTTATGATATGATTCTAAATATAAGAGATGCAAATATTTAGGGATTGGAATCAATTAAGAACAAAAAAAATTGGAAATTTTAAATAAAATAGAGAAAACCTGGATAAAGAAAAAAGGAAAAAATGCCATGAATAAGCTTGAGGAGGATTGCCACATTGGGAAATTCTTGATAAAATGACAAGATGCATGAAAAACTCTAGTAGAGATAACCTCAGTTACTTTTGGCAAAATTGTTTTACTCTTATGAGTTCCAAAAGGTTTGAAAAATACTTTAAGTTATAGGTCTTGCCTATTTTGCAAGCAAATGAAAGGAAATTACAATCCTTAAATTCCAAGAAAAGATAATATGTTTTAATGGTCATGATGACACATTCTAAATGATTTTTAGTTTAAATCATGATTATAACTATAATATTAATATTTTTATTTTAATAATCTAGTCATGTAATACATTTAATTAATTTAGCCTCTTCAAGGCGTGAAATCATCAACTAGGTCTCCAAAAGATGAGTCACCTTGTATTGTAATGTCTCTTTATGGACTCATCTAAGTCTTGAATTGGGTCTTCATCTTGATTTTCATAATCCTCATCATTTTCTTGGACTTTGACGTTCATATCACTTTTTAATAATTGACAATACTTATCTCTCTTGGTTGTATAATATTTTAGTTGAAAAAGTGATAAAATCATTTGTACAAATAACTTAGCTAATGTTGACATATATTTTGTGTCTAAGTAAAATTGACTTACATTTTAGCTTTAATCTAAAGTTTAAGAAATTTGACAGAAACTTCAATTTGAAACTAATATCTTGATGATAGACATTGAAAACATTTTCTCATCACAAACTTAAGTTTTAAAAATATTTTGAGTTTGTTAAGTTAAAGTATTTTATTGTACTTATCGTTTTCATCAATCAACATCTATTTATAAAACGCATTTAAACTCTATATAATGTTCTAATACTTATCAAACAAAATATATCCACTCATAATTTAATTAGTGTTTATTAGATATAATTTTTTCATATTTTAAGCTTTACATTATTTAACCGCTGAATCAAAAGTAATTGTTCTAACAACGATCATCCAAAACAATCTGTTTTATGATGAATTGTTTCAAATTATCAATAAATCTTATACTATGGAGAGAATGTAAACAAGTTACATAATTTAGCTACCAAAATCCAATTCAAGTAATGAAATACTCATCCTCGACTTTAATAATGTCAATGATAATGTGAGAAAGAAAAGTCGAACTCTTCACCAATGCGAATAACTATAGAGCAACATTTCATTATCTTTTTCAAATTAAATATTTATACAAGCCTAATATATGACTCATGACTTACATGACAATATTTACATCTCCCACTACGTCATACAAAGCTTTCAATTTCAATTATGTTTTTAATTCATTTTGTCTACTTTAATTTTCTAGTGGATGAATTTCAATTGCTATTATGTAAATATTTAGATAATTTTACATTTATGTGTTTTTGTCATTAAATATTATTTTATAGTTTTTAAAAATAAGTTTGTTCAAATACTATTAATTAAATTTATTATTTACGAATTTCCTAAATAATTTTTTTAAATATTTTAAAATTCTCTACATTTAACTTTTTTTTATAAAATATTATTCCTTAAATTTGTTTTCCATAAATAATTTTTTGAAATCTTTTAGTTTTCTTTATCATACATAATTTTAATTGTAATACACTTTTAAATTTTTTTAATAGTTCATTTCTACTTAAAACTAAATTTTACATTTATTAACAATAACAAATTTTTAAATTCATAATAGTAGTTAACTACAAACTCTTTCAATTGATACTAATTGAATTATAAAATAATTATTTGTAATATAAAAATAATAAAACTATTAATTCCTTTTAATAATTTAAGTTATTAAATTTTAATTAATATTAATATTTTATATTAAAATTAATTTCATATTTACATTAATTATCAATATTAATTTTATTATTTATACTAATAAAAACATATACAGATACGTCTATATATATATATATATATATATATATATATTAATTTTATTAAATTTTAATAATCATTTATTATAATCTTTAATATTTTAGATATTTTAATTAATTATATATTAACATAATTTTTAAATATTTTTAAATTTTTATTATTACTTATATTTTTGTTTTAATATTACTCATAAATATAAAAAATCAATTATTAAAATTAATTATGATATTTTAAAACTTTATAGGTTATTTTTTAAAATTATTGAAAATACACTTTAAATCTTATTTATAAATATGGTTTCTGTTAATTGTGTTAAATAGATTAATTAATAATAATTACTTTTAATAAAATAAATTAAAAAGAATGTAAACATTGTTTTGAATGTTATAAAAAGGTATGGAAGAAAACCTGCAACGAAATTGTAGCCCGAGAATCTACAAGAGGAATTATTTTTATTAGATTTATTAAAAAAAAGCATAAAAGAAAGAGGCAAATATGACACAAAAAATTCATAATTTGGAATATCATCAAACCCTAACCTGAAGTTCTAGCAGCAGTTGGGATACGCTAATCAGACAAAGACAATGGCGAGGAAGCGAAAACAGCCACCTCGTCCCGCCAAATCGGCAGAGCGCGCTTTCAAACAGCAACAACAAGAACAGCCACAGTTGAATCTAGAATCAGAGTATAAAGAAGAGGAACAATACGAAGAAGAAGAAGAAAGCCAAGAAATTGAAGAAGAATTAGCACCAATCAATGAAACCTCGAAGCCCCCCTCCACTTCTTCCTCCTCTCCAAGCGACGACGAGGAGCCAATCCAGAACCTTCTAGAATCCCTCGGCAAGAATGAGATCGCCAAATTTCTCATCGAGGCCGCCTCCAAGCACCGCGACGTGGCGGACCGGATACGCCGCACCGCCGACGCCGACCCCGCGCACCGGAAGATCTTCGTGCACGGCCTCGGCTGGGACACCACCGCCGACACCCTCACTACCGCGTTCTCCCCCTACGGCGACATCGAGGACTGCAAGGCCGTCGTGGACAAGGCCACTGGCAAGTCCAAGGGCTACGGCTTCGTCCTCTTCAAGACCCGTCGCGCTGCGCGCAATGCCCTCCGCGAGCCGCAGAAAAGGATCGGCAACCGCATTGCCGCATGCCAGCTGGCGTCCGTGGGCCCAGTCCAGTCGTCGCCGGCGACGATTTCGACGGCGCCGGGGGCTTCGGATTTCTTGCAGAGGAAGATCTACGTGAGCAATGTGAGTGGGGAATTGGACCCGCAGAGGCTTCTGTCGTTTTTTGCGCAGTTTGGGGAGATTGAGGAAGGACCTTTAGGACTTGATAAGGTAACTGGGAAACCGAAAGGGTTCTGTTTATTTGTTTATAAGGGTGTGGAGGGTGCAAAGCGGGCGTTGGAGGTGCCGCACAAGAAGTTTGAGGGGCATATTTTGCACTGCCAGAAGGCAATTGATGGTCAGAAGCAACAGCGAGTGGGGGTGGTTCCGGGTAGTTCTCAGAATGGCGGGTATGTTGGTATGGGGGCAGTGCCGGGACACTTGATGGCTCCGGCGGGGCCAGCGGTAGGAGGAGGCGTTGCAGGGACGGCGGTGCAACCAGTTAATCCGGCAGTTGGGCAGGCACTAACGGCATTGCTGGCATCTCGGAGTGCCGGGTTGCAATTGAGTGGGTTCTTGGGTATTGGGTCACCGGGGACGAACACTGGCGGTTATGTTGGACAAGGGAGTGTGAATCCCGGGGCTGTTGCTGTTGGTGGGTATGGGGGGAATCAAGTAGCGTTGCCAGGTTCATATGCAAGCCAGCAGCAGGTGGGGATAGGTGGATCTGGAAGGGTGCAGCAGCCTCATGGTGTGGGACAGTATGGTGGCGTTGTGCCTTACATGGGTCACTAGGTGTGCTTTCAGGTATTCTTTGATCATAAATTATCGCCATAATCATTATAGAACCGCACTCAGGTTTAACGAAATTTTTATATTCACTTGCCACCTCCCATTTCAACCCTATACATCCCCCCTCAAGTTTTGTAAATGATTATATAGCAAGCAGTCTGGTGTTCCTGTTGCTAATCTGTTGAATAGGTAATACTGTGTATTCCAACCATTAATACAATTCTCTCATTTCTTATGCATTTATAGATTGAGGGAGGTCAAAATGATGTCAATAAGAAGGAATTAGATTATTATTGTTATTTTATTGCTATACTATTATCATTCATGCTTGCTGAGGACCATTGTTTGAGTTGATACTTTTTCTTATAACTTATGGTGTGTTTAGAGTTTAAGTTTGAAGACTAGTCTGACTTTCTTTGTGTAGGTTTTCTGATTCTGTGCATTGTAAGGAAGGTCAAAAACATTTTAATTTATCCTATACCCAGTTTAAGATAAGATGTGCATGTTTAAAGGATTACAATGTTTGTTCTCCATGCATACTTGCTCTCACTGGATATAGAGAGGATAATATAATAATGTCAGACAACTAGGATTGAAAGTCTCGTGTGTTTGAATCATTAGGGTTGAGGTGACACCGGCATAAAATACATCTTATCCTTCTCAAATTCTTAATTCCTTCTTTGATCCTTTCTCATCTTTTATCTCTCCATTGTTGAGTTATTGGGTTTGGTTTACTATTGCATAGAAAAGCATGATAATTTTAGGCACACAAACCAGACTTATGTTATAGTTGCATGAAGCACAATGGACCAAAGTGGGAGAATTTCTAGGAATGACCTAGTTCCTGTTGTGGTTGTACGGACCTAAGGTCAGTGGGGCAGCTGATGTACATGTGTCACACCTTTGCAAGAAAATCTCACTTCTTTTTAGTTGTGACGGACTTCCACCACCTCATTGAGCACGACAAATGGAGGTTTGAAATTGGAAAGTTAGATAAACATAATTTGTTAAATGAAAAAGAAGGAACTAAAGGGTCGCAACTAAATACACTTGATTTAATTATTCAATTGTTCAATTTACATTCGTTTGAAATGAGTTCCACAGTGTTGCTGACACATTGTATAGCCTATATTTGGCTAATCCATTTCATTTTTTGCAGTAGATGTTTCTAACACTCATCATAACATATGATTTTGTTTTGTAAGACTTGTAATGATCGTTTTCTACCTAAAATTTAGTATATTGAGCATTATCGCCTGTATGATGTATTTCAAGCTATTTTCATTGTGTTTATAAATCTTAAGATTCAGTATGATACAATTTATAATTCACTATTTAAAATTATCTTGAAATTCACAATTTAAAATTATCTTGAAATTCACAATTTGTCTTGCATTTACAGACTTTTTGGTCAACTGTCAAATCATTTTGTAGCTTGATCTTTAACTTTTTTATCACTCCAATCAATTTTGCGAAAAAAAATTAATTTGTAGGGGTGACCTTTCATTTTTTTCCCACTTTGAAATTATTTTTCATGCTTTTTTATTCATTTTTTGCAGATTCTACTTAAGCATCAATCTTTTATTACTCGCCTGGTGATTCTTCTGAAGTTTAGGGAGCTGATGCAAATGCAATTGGCGTCCTTATAATGAAATATTACTTCAAAGATCAGAATATTTTAATTACCAAATGAAGTTCTGTTTTCACCGCGTACTTATTTTTATATTTACTTCCATTATAAAATATTGTAGTATTTCACTTTTAGTTCAAAATTTCCTTGAAGAACTGTTTTAGTACAATGAGTTTTACTTTATATCTGTATTATGAGAAATCCATGTTAAAGCCAAGTATGTTTTTGAAATTTATGTTTGTGTGAAGCATTGAGTTTGTACTTGGTATTCAATATTTTCTTTGTAGTGTTTTATATGGTTCTTCTATAGTGTATTTCTTTTTTTATCTATTTTTTATTTTTAATTTTCATGTATATTCTATTTTGGTTATTTTTTCACCCAGTATTATTGAAATGAAATTTGCGTAATGTGCTAAGTATTTTGGTTAAGTATACCTTGAAAAAATTGCTTAGAAACTAACAAATAATTGACTTACTGACTTTCGTAAAAAAGTATGTTGCTTTGCTAATTTTGTTCAGTAATATTGTAGACTTTAGCAACTATTAGAATTCCTCATCTATGACTTTTCTGCCTTTTCCAATCCTTCTCCACGTGAAAAAGTGATGATAGAAATGCATCAGAATCGAGGGAAAGAGTGGATTTTTATTGATGAACACTAAATCCCTGTTGGGTTTAGAAGAGACACAAAACGAAATATTTCCCTGGATGTATGAGAGATTAGGTTTTCTGCACTGTAAGAATCTGATCCTTAAATGACAAGATAATTTCCCTCTTAATCTCCCCACGTTAGTCATAGGCAATATGCCAAATTTTTTACCATATCAGTTCACCCACTTGATATAGTTAACCTACGTCAAATGGGGGTATCTATACTCTCCTCCAAAGCCAAATGTTTCAAATTGTCCTCAAGGCAATCTGTGGTTGCTGAAATGAAGTTCCATCTATGTTCAATCAATTGAAGCATGATATTCAAGCCAATTACACCAGTCAGCCAAAAAAATAGCTACCATTTCTTGCAATGCCCCATGGTTAGAATCTTGATTCTAACACAAATGTTGTAGTGTCTTTCCCTGTGGCTTCTCTATTGCTCTCCTTTTTGGGCTCATTTGGTTGTAAGGATATGATATGATAAGGATATCATATCCTGCTCTAGTTAGTTGTTGCAACAATAGCATATGATTTTCTTATCTTGTTGGTGCAATGTGTTAGAATAATTACATTTATATATCATCCTTAAGCCTAGGTAAGGTGTACTATGTTAGACAATCTATTAGCTATACAGATAGTTATACCTAGTTCTACACCTAGGTGTCTAGTACAATACCTTAGTCTTGAATAAGCTTTTCATTATAGATAGAAGATTAAGAGAGGGGTCTCTTTGCCGGCCACCACAGTTTTTGCTTGTGATCACTGCATATGGAGCGTCTCTAAGAGCGTCAACCAACCCCGCCAGGCGGAAGCTAATTCTCATCCACGCATTGCCATGCGCTCAACCTTAGTTTGCCTCTGCCAAGTGCGTGATGTTCACGCCCCGCCTTCCACTCGCTGGAACTTCGTCGCATTGCTGTCGCTAGTCTTGCCAGACCTTGCTGTCTCTGTTTTGGCCTTCAAAGCTTCATTCCAACGTTGTTCGAAGTCATCCGTGAGGAAGTCACCCTAGGGCTTTCATTTTTCCTTGCTGTTTTTGCGATTTCTCGCTGGTTCCTTGTTGTTTTCGTCTCCTTAGTGATAGGTTCCTTATTCCAAACAATAAACACCTCCACTGGAGTATATTCTTCTTCATAGCGTTCTTCACGAGGAGGGAGGTTGTGCCCATGATTGCTAATTCGAGTTTCGGAACTCTTCATAATGAATTTCCGAAATCTTCCTCTGCATTATCTATACTACTACAGTTGCAATTTAACTCCTTATTGGCCCATGTAACTGTGTGACTAACTGACTTGTGAGTCAGTTGGGTCTGTTATCTTCCTATTTCTTCTAGAATGCACTTTGGTAATAAGCTCCTTATTCCTACTATCAAGCAAACAAGAGGTTATTTGTTTGTGCTCTCTTCCGTACAGTTTTCCCATAGCCATGGTAATTTAAAATCACCTTTTGATAATATCAAAGTCATCTTGGGGTCTTTGCCACCCACTGGAGAGAGTGTCTTCTTTGCTTAAATTTCCTGATTTTGCGTTTGATGCTGTTGGTGTGCTGGAGTTAGTTGGTCTTGTACTCTTTTTTCGTTTCATACTCTCTTGTTCTCCCTAGACACCAGTTAGTTGCCTGTGCTGAAGCAAATTCTGGTTGTGTAAATGGATGTAAGACCTTTGGCTGTCATTTTCTAATTGGGTCATATTTCTTGTCGAAGCAGTTTAGGATTAAAACTTTCTGAAGACAGGCTAGAAGAAGAGCATTGTACAGTGCTTTCATCATTGTTGATTAAATTTGACTTTTTCTTGTTCCCCATTCCTCCCTCCTCCCAAAAGGAACCCTTAGTCAACTGATTGTGAAACCGCCTATATCTCTGTATATTGATAGATGTGGCATACCTTCGTCATTTTTAAATTTGCTTCAGTTAGCTGTGAAATGTTCGCAGATGCATTATTGATTTATTGACTTTCTTTCTGAATGTGTTGCATTCTTCCAGAGCTTGCATGCATTTGCATGTTGTCTGTGGTACAAGTTTAAACATGTATGTTTTTTCGTACAAATTCTTTATCTAAAGTTGAAGGCAAAGGTGGTCAGTATTTGTGATAACGGACTGGGTTTATAATTGTCCTCAAATATAGAGGTACTGAAATGAATTAGAACGTTAAGTTGTAGTTTATGATATATAATATAATTATGTATTTACATATAGTAGTCTAAAAAAGTGAGTGCATCGGCAATGTTGTGCTTGACAGCCTATTTACTAGAGAATTTTTCTTTTTAAAATTGACTTAAAAATAGACGTGTTGCGTTGTATGGTAGAGGCATAGAAAATACACCATCCACGTAAGTACTGTTACTTTGATTCTCTGTCTGTGTGTAGAACTTGTGATTCCATTGCATTATAGATACCGATACGTTGAAGAGATTCTTATCAGTTGGATGTTGGAGTATTTCTTTCCTTTGATTGAACTCTTTTGTAGGTCATTTTTCTGTTGTGTTCATCTTTTGCTGCCGCCATATTTTGTCCATTAGTTATATTTTTGATGTAGCTATGCTTGAGATGTCATTTAAAAAGCTGGTATTTAACAAAATTACCTACGCCCCTGTTGCTTTTGAATCTTATTTTTGTGTAAATTGCTTTGATCCTCCCTTTCTATTTTGTGCGTCATAAACTTCACCCTCCATTCTTTTTATAGGCATGCAAGTTTGATATTTTCAATTGAATTTCTATTAAATGTTTTTAGTATGTTAAGTATTCAAAATTTATATTTATATATTTTTCAATTAAGTCTGTAGTTTTTGTTAATTGGGTCCTATGGTTTTATCATGTCTATAAAAAAAATGTGAGATTTTATAATTAATATAAAATGATATTATGGTTAATATAAAATAATTAGTGATTTTTATTCTTGTTGAATAATAAGTGATTGTTATCATCATTTACATTAATGGTGGTGGTGATGAAGGTCCTCGATGTAGGTAATAATGTGAAATTTATGAGAAACATAATGACTTCGTTATTTAATATATTTTCAATAGAAATGATAAAAGTCATTTATTACTTTATATCAATTTATATTAATGAAATTTTTTATATTTTTTTTAACATGCAGAAACAAATAAAATGATGAAACGAAAATTAAATGAAAGGAACTTAATTGAAAATATAAAAATGTTAAGTATTTAGTAAGAAAAGAAATAGAGATTCAATTGGAAATATTTAAGTGTATCGAGACTAAAAGATAGTTATGAATTTTTTATTTTTATATATTTGTATTCTTGAGTCTAGTTTTATATGATTAGTTTAGCCGTTTGTCAATTTTCATTTTGTATGTTTCATGTCAAATTATTCAAGATACCCTCATTAAATAAATAATAGTTTAAACCTTTCCAAATATATTATTTAGCATGAAAGAAAAACTCAAGGAAAATGGTAATGGTATCATATGAAAAAAATCCAATATCAAGCATACCGCCAACAGGTTCGTGTCGACATTTTGATTTTCTTTAAAATATTGCAAACTCCTCAAATAAACAGTTTAGTTCGGTTTTATGTATTTTTTAAAACTAATAAATCCAGTTTTCTGTAGATTTTTGAAATAGAAGGTCTGAACTAGAAGTTGAGTACTTCACTCAATAGAAGCATATTGTACCCAATAAGTTAATTAATAATAATATTCTGGAATAATTTCAATAGAGTTAGGTTAGTTGGGGTTGTGTAAATTTCAGAGGAGAGTTTTTGTGGAAGAGAAAAATAGGAAAGTTTAGTGCAGAGGTTATTTAATATTATTTTCTTGTTGAATGGGGATGGAGCCATTTTTACTTCTGTGATGTTGTAATTTGCATATACCCCAGCTTAGTTTCTCTATTCTTTTTGAATGATCTTAGCAACTTTTTGAATGATCTTAGCAAAATAAGATTGGAACAGAATTTTTTGAAGGGTATTTCTTACTGCATCTTTTCATTAAAATTATAATAAAAATATCTGTGCCTTATATTTTTTAAATTAAATGTTTCGAAAGATATTTCTATACTTAGAAAATACTTTTTGGAATATTCAATCTAAAAAGTATAAAAAAGGCATTCTGAATTAAGTGTTGTGAAAGACATTTTCAGATTCAGAAGTGTTTTTTTGAACAATTAATTTAAATTTGTTTTATATTCTTGATTGGGTGTTTTGAAAGGTATTTTCTGATTTAAAAATATTTTTTAAAATACTGGAAAAATATTTTTATATTTTAGATCGAGTATTGCGAAAAGTATTTTCTAAATCTGGAATTATCCTCTAAAATATCTAATCTGAAATGTATAAAAAAACATATATTCTGGAATGGTAAATTTGAATGCATGCACCTACTTCATTTACTTCCTATGCATTGTCCCTTGATTTGTCCTGTTGGTGGCCTTGTATTATTTATAGGTTGGCTTGCCATTCTACGTTCACACAAGAAAGAAAGTTATCATCAAATTAGCTTGGAAGGAATAGTTTGCCAGTGAAGAAAAATTCTATGAATATGATTTGTCACTGTTTATACTTAAATTATCATCAAGAAATTAGTGGAAAGGTAAAGTATAAAGTTAATATATATAGTTTTATACCCATAACTTGTGCATTGTGTTTTATACCCATCTTCTTTCATTTCAGACAGGGGTATATGCGCACCATGGAAGAAGGGCCAATGTTGAAGATGGAGGAAGGTGCAGGAGTATATGTGCAACATGGAACAAGGGGAAGAAAAATGGGAAGGATAAGGTTTTTTTTAAATATAAATTTAATGGGGTCTTGGAATTTTGTCAATCCAACTTATTATTTTTGGATTCACTTCCTTTATGATTTTTTTATGATTTTGTAATAATAGTTAGTTCTCGGCTCAGTCATTACTATGCTATGCTGCATATTGGAGTAATAAAATATTAGTGATAAATTTAAAAAAAAAAATTGAAGATGGCATAGAATTAACTGCAGGTTTGAAAAGTGAAGTCCTTGACAATATTCACAAAGTCCTTCATGTTGAATCTTTTGATGAAATTTTATGTGTGTTGAATGCAATATATATGCACATAGTTATTTTCATTCCATCTACTCCTTAGTCTTTTGAATGTTGCACTCATGGGTTGTAATTGTGATGATTCAAAATTAAGCACAAATTGTCTTAAGGTGTTACTTACCTCCTGAGACTCTTAAGTTCTTGTTTACTTGAATGGATTTGAGAGAGAGTGATTGAATAAATTTGAGAAGATTTGAAGGTAACTTTTTTGTTGTTTATTTGAGTGGATTTTGGAGGTAAGTGAGAGTGGATTTTGGAGGTAAGTGAGAGTGGATTTGGAAGTAAAGTTTGTGAGAATTAGTGTAAAATTTGATTGATGTGACAAATTAAAAAACTTTACTTTCAAATCTATTCTCACCTACCTCCAAAATTCACTCAAATAAACACAAGAAAATTTACTTTCAAATTCTCTCAAATTCATTCAATCATCTTCAGTTATGACAATCATATGATGTTATTCTTCCTATCTTGTGCAACAGTTGCAAGAAGGGTGTCCATATATTTTCCATTTAGCAATGTTCCATCGACTAAGACTAATGGTTTGCAAAACAAAAAGCCATCAATGCATGCTTTGAAGGCCAAGAAATGTTCTTTTAAGTGTACCTTGTTGTGAAGGACTTGGTTGTCATCAATTATTGTTATGTTGAGTTTGTTTTGGAAACTAGGAAGAAATGTTGTTATGGCATGTATTAGGATAGACAATTTGTTGAAATATTTTTCTCAATTGTTGTTGACATTTTTATTGCATGTTGCTTTACTAACCAAGCCTTTTTGTACACTATAGTGTATCCTATTGAGAATTTAATGATAGCAATGATTGTGTCAATTGGTATAGAAGGGCCAACTTCAATGATTTTACCAATGTGTTAGGAAATTATGTAAGACATAGCCTATTGTGGCTTTTTGAAATCAATTGTGTTGCACATGTGTGAGCTCCTTCGTGTGAGTCTCTTTTATTTTTTTATTTCCCATAATCGATTTCTGGTTTGAGGATTACCTGATACTTCCATGTGTGTTGTTGGTGATCACATTGGACCCTTAATTTGGTTTGAAGGATTACCTTAAGTTTGATTGAATTGTTATGTTAGAAGACTAGAAATTCTATTGTTATTACTATTATGTATGAGGTGCTTGATTATTATTGAATTAATCAATATATTTATATCATGTTATTATGATTATTTTACTGGTAGCTTACTCATACATGTTTGTGTTTGTGAATGATATGTGGACGATGATAATATAATGTAATGAGAGTTATTTTATTTCCTTCGTTATTTTCATTGGACAAATGTTTTGGAACTATTATGTTTTATGCACGTTTAAATGTTGAAGTTTTGAAAATACGTTTTCGCGTTATGTTAAAGTTTGAAACTTTTATTGATTTTTGAATAACTTGTGACTCCTTAGAAATTAGGGTGTTACAATGTTCACGTACAATAGTTTATTTTGGAGGACCTCTCAAAAGGGCAAGCATCATGAAAAGTTCATGCGAATACAGTCTCACATTCTCGTTAGACACTCTTATAACCATGTTAATCTGACACAATTGAATGTTTAATGAATTATATGAAAAAATAACACAAGAATTACATTTTGTTAACAACAGAAGAGTTACTAAAATAAACTTCTATCATCTAGTAAGGATAGTTAATAATGACTTTGTACATGATATACTTGAAATAAAATATGATAATGATGTTGCACAAATAATTAACTATTAAAAAAATTCAACATCTAAACCGATCTATCTTACATCTACACTGTTGACAATGTATTGAATAATTCATGCAAAGAACACAAATACATCCATCAACCTTGTCAAAGAATATGATAACTTCAAAACTTGAAGTTATATTGACAAGAGAAGAAAGTATAAAAGATATACCGACTATTGTAATTTATCTGTATAATTTTGTTATGTTAATTTCATTTTTATTATGTCAAGAATATTTCCTTTCCAAGAAGAATTGTTAATCATTCCCATTTGGTTTTTAAAATTATTTTTTCAATTAGTCTAAAAGTATTTAATTTCTTCAAATCCTTTTTTTTTTCCTCTTTACATTATGGTTTACATTCTATTACTATATACATACCTACAACCACTAAAACAATTTAGTTACATAATCAAATACAAATAATTTCATTCTTCACATCAAAATGATTAAACTCAATAACAATAAATGTTTAAAAATTACGTCTTTACATTAAATAATTAAATAAATTGTGAAAATTCAACTTCATTTCAAATATCTTAAATAATCTCTTTCTTTATTTTTTATTTTACTACAAATCTATTAATAATTTATTTTAATAAACAAGACTTTTCATTATAGATTTTTTTTCCTTTATTTTTTAACTTTAATTTAATAACCTATGAATTCAATTTACTTTTCCTAATTTTATATACAATTATTAAGCTATAAATTCAATTTAATTTCCCTAGTTTCAACATCAATATAATTATTAACTTCAATTATGTAACCATATACTTATGATTTTTTTAATTTATTTCCTTAAAATAACAACTTTAAAATATTAGTACGTTAATTTTATTTTATTTTACATTTTTATATATATTTTTATTTTTCTCGTTCACCTTCTATTTTTATTAAATTCACATAGCAAAACAAAATTATAAATTTTGGTTAGTAATGGGGCAAAACAAAGCACAAACTAGGTTCAGAATTCTAACACCACGTGGACCTAATTTTGACATGTGAAAAAAAAGTGTTATGTAGGTAAATATAAGCTATAGTATATTACCTGGGTAAACAAACATAGCAAATAGTGTACTTATTTTTATATATTTTTTAAATCTGGTAATTTTGATAATTTTAAAAAGAAAATTACACCAAAAAGGTGTTTTTAGTTTATGGATTAACAACTAAATTTTTTATCTTAGTATTGTGATCAAAGTATTACAAATATTATATATCCAATAAAACCTATTAAATGAAATTTTTATTATGACTTTTATATATAATCTTAACTTGGATGGAAAATATATACTATATATATATATATATATATATATATATATATATATTACATGCTGATAATAAATTAGCGTAATCTCTTAAACTTTAGGGCTTTTAAAGTTTATTTTTGTATCTACTTTTGGTTATTTTCTTTGAATTCTTTAATATAAGATATTTTTTATTTGAAAAAAAAAACTTAATATGTTTACATTATATTTATAATTTAAAATGAAATATTTAGTTTATATGTTAACATTATATTTTTTTATAGAAACAATTATATAGTAAAATAAAATGAAGCACATATAAAAATTAATTTTATAGATGTCATTATTAAAATGATAAATTTAACATCCCTACAACTCAGGATTTCTATGTTTATAAAATGTATTTAACACATTTTATCGAGTAGTCTCTCTCTCCTTTTCTGTATAGTTTATTCTTTTATTACGTTTAAAATCAAACTTTATATCTTAATAGTTTTTTTTAACGAGGTCCATATTTAAAAATAACCATTTATTAATTTGCGAATATAAGGTACATATTACTATTTTAAATATGATATACAATAAAACTATATTTCTACAGTAAATATTAAAATATATTGTAATTATAATATCAACATATTGATTATAAATTATAATAAAATAAAAATATATCTATCCCCAATGCCCAAATTATTTATAATTAGGGTTTACAAATTATTCAGCGAGGATAGAAAAGAAAACCCTCTTCTCTTAAACCTCTCACTTCCGGCGATAGCAAAAGAGATTCTCTGTGAGAGGCAGCAGAATAAGCTGCTACTCCGTGAACTTCCCTTATCCAATTTTTGTTCTTCTTTCAGTAATTGCAGCGAAGAATGGCGAAGAGGAAGGAGCGGATTCAGAACCCGGAACCGTTTGATCCGTATGGTGCCGACCATGCAAAGACGAAGAAGCGTTCGAAAGCGCCGAAGCAGTACCAGCAGGAAGAGAAACTCATCGCTTCCAAAATCAGCTCGAAGATCATGAAGGAGGCTCTGCTGCAGCAAAAGGAGGAAGATGAGGGGGCGAATGACAACACTGCCACTTTCTTCGAAGAGATTCCCAAGGCGGAGGAAGCAGACGGAGACGATATCGATGAATTTGTCGGCTTTTCTGAAACGCAGAGCCAATTCGCTGGATATGAAGTGAGTTGACTCTCTCACCTTTACTCTCTCCTTCATTTCATGACTTTTTGTTTCATTGAACTGCCAAAAACTATGAACGCTCTTTCCCTTTTTTTAACCCTTGGTTAACCATTGGCTTTGCCAAATGACTTTCACTTTATATTTTTCAGGCACTATAGGTTTTGTCCTGAATAAGAATTTTCAGAACCATAGCTAACACTATACTTATTTCAGTCCCATTGGAACAAACTTTTCCTTATGGACATCCCATAGAGAAAACCATGAAACAAAAATGGAATTTACTTCACCATTTAATTCTATTTGTCTATGAATTACTTTATAGAAGCTCTGTCATATAACTTGTTCGCACAATTTTAATTTGTGTAGAAGTCAATTTTATTGTTTTCTTCATATTTTTTTTTCTAGAAGAGAAAGTTCTTACTAAGGAACACTTGGAAACAATGCTTTCAAGTAGTAAGTAAAAGAGTATCTATACAAGTAAATGTTACATAGGACTTGAGTTGATTTTAACTTATTAAATAAGCTCATTTTTTGTCTTTTTATTTTCTTCACCTATGGGTGCATTGTAGATTATGAAAGATTTTTCAAGTAGGGTAATATGGAGTTTATTTTTTTGGTTCTTCATAGATGTGAGTTCGGTATCTTTAGAGTCTGTTTGTAAATCTGATATTGAAATAAGGTGACAATTTGTAACTGTGTAATTGAAGAGGAGGTTCAGAAATGTTTGGCTGGACTAAATGTATGAAATTTTTTATTTCTATTAGTGAACAGTTTTGGATGGAGTGAATTTTTTTCATTTCAATTATTTTCCCTCATTATTGTGATGTGGGTGATTTTTGTTAATATGTGATCATTTTTTGAAATTCAGGAGGAAATTAATGAGGAGGATGAGAAACTAATGGAAGCATTTTTATCAAAAGATGCTGGTCAGCAGAAAACACTGGCAGACCTCATTGTCCAAAGAATAAAAGAAAAGGATTCTTCTGTTGCTTCAGGCAATACTTGACTGCATTTTATTTTGCTCATGCTTTCTTTCATTTTGGTTTTGGTGTTGAGTGCTTTTAGCATGTTTTCTCTGTCTGCTTGGAGGTATTATTCTCACTCTTGAACTTGTAATGTTTTTGTCTGCAGAAATACGACCTGTCCCAAAATTGGATAAATCCATAATTGACATATACAAGGGGTATGTATAGCTTCCTATTCAGTTCTATCATCAATATGTAAATTGGATTAATAATTTCTTTTCTGTCAGGTTATTTAGCTGGTTAAATGTAGTTTCTATCTCTTGTCCTCAACTTAACTGCTGTTTGCCTTCTTCCCTATTGGTAGGGTTGGGACCCATCTCAGCAAATATACAATAGGCAAAATACCCAAGGCATTTAAACACATCCCCTCTATGCAACTTTGGGAGGAGGTCCTGTATATAACTGAACCTGAGAATTGGTCTCCAAATGCTCTTTACCAAGCCACCAGGATTTTTGCTTCTAATTTTGGTGCAAAAAAGGCAGAACGCTTCTACAAGCTTGTGTTGCTTCCAAGAGTGAGAGAAGATATACGGAAGAATAAACGGTTGCATTTTGCCTTATACCAAACTCTGAAAAAGGCATTGTACAAACCTGCTGCATTCTTTAAGGGAATACTGTTTCCCCTATGTGAGGTATTTGCTAGTGTCTATGCTGGTTTTGATATTTCAAATTAATTATTGGTGGATATTTTCTCAAGTTGTATTTGTGGATTTCTGTTAATTCTTAAACTATTGTACATACTTGTTCATTTTCATCGAATTACATATTGCATATCCTTTGCTGATGTGACCAGCATTTGAAGTTCTTTGTCATAATTACTGGAAGAAAGAGGGGGAAATTAACCATGAATTCTGTGTGGAAAATAGGAAATACAGAATAGCATGATTCTAGAGTGATGAATTAACTTGAGAAAGAGTTATGTTTATGGTGTATTGTGAATGATATATAAGTTCTATCAAGTTAACTTGACAGATAGAAAGCGCCTCTTTGGTTGTGAGGAAAGCAGAATCTTTATATTATAGTTTGCACATATGTTGAGAATTTGCTCATTTCCATTTATGTGTTGTTGTTTTGACAAATTACCTACGAAGTTATATAAAAATTAGTGAAAGTATTAGCTCTGGTATTTTTAAGTAAATTCATTCACCTTCTCAAATTAAATGATTTCTTTTTATTTATTTATTTATGCTTTCTTTGGCGATTTTAATAATTTGGATTTATTCACTGAAATGAAATGAAATCTTTTTAATTCCAGTTTACCCCAACCGTGTCAACATAAGTTTTGTAAGCTTTGTTGCAATGTTTGACAATTTTCTTCATGTACAGTCACGCACATGCACTCTCAGGGAAGCAGTTATTGTTGGAAGCATTATAGAAAAGGTTTCTATTCCTCCACTTCATTCAAGGTATGTTAACTATGACTAATTGAAACTTGGGTGTATAACTTATTATTCGAAGTTCACTGAGATCTGTACCATAGTGGTTGGGAGTCGCTTTCTTGGACAATAGTTTATGGGGCATAGCCTTTAGTATTTTGGAGAGATGATGTAGGGATGGATTTCTCTTGCTGTGTAAAGATTTTAGCATTTCTCCTTGTTATTATTATCCAATAAAATAGCGTAGGTGTTTACTTGGTTTTCCAGGCCTTTCTCTCTTAAGCACTCCTAATATCACAGAAGGATTTTAAACACATCTCCTTGGTACCATTACCCGATAAAAACTATAGTGTTTTTGTTGACTGTTGGCACAATCTAGGATTTAAAACCATGGTTCATGTTAAAGACTTATGAGATTTAAAGAATTTTAGAGAAACTGGAAAATTGTGTTATTTATATTCTGAATCTCTAATCTAAGAAATCAGGATTTGTATTGCAAGCTGTTACAGTTATGTTACAACTGTTACAGCTGTAGCTAACTCTGCTGAGCTGGTAGTCTACCCTAGTGTATGAGGCATTTTGACATAATGAAACTAATACATGCTGTATGTATGCTATCTCATGTTGAAACTGAAAGTATGAGTTTGAATTATTTGAGTCATATGCAATGTCTGATGTATCCAAACACTTGGATGTGTATGCAGTGTTGCTCTATTGAAGCTTTCTGGAATGGAGTATTGCGGCACCACAAGGTATTTAATACTGCATTATTTTTTTTTAATAAAGTATAATAATGAAAATACAGTTTATGAAATTTCTCATGAGTTGAGTTTATATTTTACAGCAATAGTGAACCATTAGTCATTTTGATGAAACTTCCTTTAATTTTTTTCCCTTCAATGTTTAATACACACTTACCGTATTTGCAGCTATTTCATAAAGCTTCTTCTGGAGAAAAAATATGCTTTGCCATATCGTGTTGTTGATGCAGTTGTTGCTCATTTTATGAGATTTTTGAATGAAACCAGGATAATGCCTGTCATATGGCACCAGTCACTTCTTGCTTTTGTGCAGAGGTCAGTGATTAACCTTTTACTTTTATTAATGCTGCTCTAATATGGTTTTTAGAAAGTGGTTTTAGGGGTAACTGAATCATACAAAACTGATTTATAAGATGACATTTGCATTCATTTATATATTATAGATTGGTCATATTTTCGGTGAATGTGATATTTCCAACACACCTTCATATGTTAGGGACACAATAATTTGAGCGCAAGACTATATATTTGTGGGTGGTTCGATAGGGTGGAACACTATAGGGTTTCAACAAACTTTTTTAGGATAGATTTTGATATCATATTAGAAATTGAACTTAGGCTTAATTTAATCATACAAAACTAGTTTTTAAAGTGAGGTTTGCATCTGTATATGTAGTATAATTAGATTATGTTTCTAGTCAACCTCCACAATAATCTTGATAGAGCAGTAACTAATAAAAACTCATCGTTGAAGTTGTATGTGTTGAATTAAGAAAGGATAGAAGAAAGAAAATGGATTGGAGAATAAGGATTTCTATAGAAGGGTCCTCTTCCTTAGCAGAGTACTCAATAGCATGCGATAGTACAGGTGCTGAGTAGGGCGACCACCAACAGTAATTGTGGGTCGTGTTGTAGCCAGTGATGCCTTTCGTGGCTAGACTGGTGTACAATCATGCCATTTTGGTGTGACTCCATTTAACCCAAGGGGCTGGAGAAGATGTCCCAAAATGGTGTTGTTTTGAATTTCAGATCTGTTTTTCACTAAAGTAGGGGAATTTGCTATATAACCTCTCAGCCCAGATTTGATTTTTCTTTAAGGATAAAACTGATAATAACCTCTCCCAGCCCATGTTACATATTATCCGATTCTTTTTCTTAGACAGGGAACCTTAAACTTAACTCAATCAAACAAAATTGATTTGTTAAATAAGGATTGCATTCACTTGTGTGTGTGTATATATTATAATTTGGTTATGGTTCTAGTCAACATGAGATCAACCCTTTTTTTTATTCACTTTTGCAAATACTTGGCCCACTCTAACTACAAAACCTGTCATCTTTCTCTCAACTTTGGGCAAACACTGCAATGGTGTTCCCAATGATGGCTCTACATGTTTTTTGTTCAAATACTTAATACTTAATTTCTTACAAACACAAGAAATATCCGTTATCCTCCCTAAATCATCCAAGACAAACAAACTGTTAGAGCAGATAAAGTGAATTCTGGTATAATTCCTATATCATCAATGAATAATACTTATAATTAGGGTAACATGAAATACAGTAATGATTAATTTTACTGACCCCTTTCTAATTTTAAGTTGATTTTTTATGATATTTCAGGTATAAGAATGAGTTGCAAAAGGAAGATAAGGATGGATTAAGGGATCTACTGGAAAAGCAGAAGCATAAATTGGTGAGAGCATCAAATCTAATGGGTTGCTTTTCTTCTGTTTCAAATTGCTGGCTCCGATTGATTTTGTTTCCTCCTACTGCAGGTTACACCAGAAATCCATAGAGAGCTAGAACACAGCCGCAACCGAGGTGAAAAGGAGGAAGACCTTATGTCAATTTATATCCTTTACATTTTCCACCTTCTTACCCATACTTGTCTTTCTTAAGGTTGATGCATGATATGGTATCTATAGTAACTCACGTATGATCTAGGAGGGCTTCATGATGAAGTCTTAGTTGCATGTTAGCTTCAGTGTATTGACGTGGCTAGAAACAAGAAATTCAGATAATATAACTAATTAATACGAAGAAGCTTTAAATGCAATTTTGCTATAATAAATTCAGGTCCCCCTGCTGAGTGTTAATATCTTAAATTTTTGTGTCAACTATTCAGCCCTGTAAACATTCAAGGCATTTAATTCAGCAGAAATTCAGGAAGAAATATGATGATACTGTAGTAATTGACACGACATGACAGCCGAAATACCTAACTGACAGAAGATCGTGTCTTTTTTTTTTTATTTATTTAAATTTCTGAACTACACTAATTTATGAGCAAGAAATTGTTGATTGGTTACAGCAACTGGCATTCATCTTGTAGAATGTCTAATTCTAACTTGAAACTAGCTCAATTATGATTTTGATAAATATTGCTGTTGCATACTCTTTCCTTGACAACCAATACCCAGTCCAGTATTTGTGATAAACAAGACTATTGAAGAGGATAGATTTGACATTCCAGATGTACCAATGGAGGAGGATTAATTTATTGTGGTATGGTTCTGATCTTGCCATTAGATTTTATCTTTTTATTAGCAATACTTTTCATGCATTTCCTGTTACACTTTCATTTATTTATGGATTACTTTGTTACCTTGTAAAGTTGACTGCGATGGACTGTTGGGTGATTGTTGAATAAATCTAAATACCCAAAATACCCAATTCAAATTGGTAGCATAGTTATCAAAGCTAGCTATAGTTCTGTAGCAATGTAGAGCCACCCTGAGCCTTCAGGTTTTCTCCGCTGAGTGTTTTCTGCTAGAAGCAATAGCAGTAAAAATTGGTTCCATGGGGGGACTATCAAGCCCTTTTCTGTCCCTAAGTGATAGTTGTTCATCCAAAATTTTGGGGATTATTTCATAATTTCTCCCTTTTTTGTTTTGTATAGTATACAACTCTTTTGGGCATGCTAATTGATACCCTGTTCTCGTGTATATGTTGCAAACCATCAGCTGACCGTGAGTTACGACTTTCAATTATTAATGTCTTTTAAATTTAGGTAATTTTTTTATTATAATGTGTGTGTATATTGTTAGAGATATGATTTTATTATGTTAAAGATATGGTTTGGTTGCATTAAATAAGGAATTATGGTATAATTTGATAGAGAAATATGTTATGTTTTATTTTCCATTATTAGATATTATTTTTATTTCTTATTGTTATATCTCTTCATTATAAATAAGAATAATCATGTGTGTTCCCCACAACACATAATTATGTTAGAAATCCAAGGAAGTTTGAGTTTTACATTGAGTAGAAATAAGAAAGTTAAATAATATATAAAGAGGAAGATTCACAAACCCATAGCTTTAAGGTTTTTGTGTTGAAGGTGATATGATAATATCTTGCATGGTTGGTCTCATAGTTGTGTTTCCCCAATAAGCTATGAATTCTGAACTGCTAATTCAACAGCAACAGAGAAAGATCTCCAGTCAATTGCAAGCTAAATGTCAACTTTGTCTTATACTTCCTATCGTATCTAAGCTTGGAATACAAAAGTTGTAACTTATAATTTTGATATTTTGTAATAGGTGGCCATCACTTCAATATGTGCTGTGCTTGGCTTTGATGCGCTATCGTTTGTGTTTTGTAGCTTGTGGTATTGCATGTCTTTCGATCTTGATGTGCTAGCTTTTATATATTGCAGGGTTTTTCATAGCGCTTCACTTGAGTGAGAATTTTCAATAGACATGCCCTCATTAAGCTTCCCGAGGGTGCAGTTTTGGTGTCAGCAATCTTGTACTCTAATGCATGAGATTTATTGTATTTGTTTTGGTGCCATTTTTGTTTACTTTGTGACTTTTCGACATGCAATCTCATTTATTCTTTTTTCTGATGTAATCTTATCGAAAATACAATTAAACTTGCTAGAATGTTTTCTGGTGTTTCATATGTGGCATATAGGGTTTGTTTTGTTCCGAAAACGATCTTTTTTAGTAGTAATCATGTTATGTAAATTACAGGCAAACATATATTTACTTAAATGGTTTGTTTTAAAATTTGCAAAATCCAAAATTGATGACCTCAAGTAGTTAATTGATCTGAAATCGAACTATTTTAAGTTCTGTGCTAAACTATATTTTAGTTCAGTTTTTAAAAGTTGAACTATTATTAAAAGAACAATTTAGTAGATTGTTTAAACTATCAGAGTAGTTTTCACGTTAGAAATTGTTTCACTTTTAAGACTACGTTTCATTATATTATTAATTTTCTTGCACTACAAGATTAAAATGATAATATTTGATAGAACAAAAGACTAGTTCCTAATTGGATATAGAGAATGAGGGATAAATAATCGAAGTACTCTTATGTTCAAATTGATGAACTGGACTATTGAAAATATATGCTTATGTGATGTAAGGTTTATATCAAATGCCACCCAGGGAAATAAAGTTATATCAAATGGATGAAAATAATAATTAAAAAGATGTATAAAATACGTTTTTAAGTAGTCTAATAAAAGAAGTTTACTTAGAATAGTCCTTCGAATTTGAAAATGTTACATTCTCAATCTAAATAAAGTCTTTTATGATTTCCTTTATCAGCAAAAGTGTATATATATATA